GCACAATAAAACCAGTATTCATCCAGACAAGTATACAAGCAGCCACACACACACATGCATGCACGTGGCTTTATGTTTTATTTAATATTGAATACGATGTAAAACCCCGTTTCACATCAAGGTCATATTTATTATGAAGTTGTGATTATTCTGTGTTACAGTCAGTAAACAGTGGTGAGGGTGAGGGCCGAGGAGTATATGACTTTGAGTGTAGTGGTGAGGGTGAGGGCCGAGGAGTATATGACTTTGTGTGTAGTGGTGAGGGATAGGGCCAAGGAGTATATGACTTTGTGTGTAGTGGTGAGGGTGAGGGCCGAGGAGTATATGACTTTGTGTGTAGTGGTCGGTGCTGAGAAGAAGGAGACCACTTGACTTGCTGCGTGATGCTCTTCAGATCGTAACGTGCAAAGCTAATAGTGCATGTGTGTGAAATGACAGATAGGGCACACCTTATTAGCTATGTCAGTATAACATTCAGGATACCTTAGTGAAGTGATAATTTGTCCTCAACTTGTATCGTGATATACTATTAAGGGGGGAAGATATTTCATATTTCAGAATCCCACCTTCATTTTTCCTGTGTTTTTAGGGCACAACAAATTGTAAGTCATAGTGTAAATTATGTCAGCATGAATATGTTTGGTCATTACATGTTTGCCATTTCCTATAAATTTCTTATAAAGTAGTATTACCTATGATCATTTGACTCGCGAAAATCTGGGTTAGAATAGGTCTTCAGAAACCCATGCTTGCCTTAAAAGGAGACAATGCTTGTCATAAGAGGAGACCAACTAACAGGATCGGGTGGTCAGGCTCACTGACTTTGTTGAAGCATGTCATCGATCCCAATTGCGTGGATCGATGCTCATGATATCAGTAACTGGATCGGCTGGTCCAGACTCGATTATTTACAGACCGCCGTCATATAGCTGGAATATTGCTGAGTGGAGCAATAAACAACATACAAGTATGTCATTCACCATCTGCACCCTCTCAGGATCTGTGTTGGTAAGAGTGGAGTGGAAGGAGTTCTGTAGAAGTTAGCATACTGATGGGTTGCACTTGCCTAGCATTGGAAGAAGTAGAACATGGGTGACAGGGGAGCAAGTACGTTATGCATTGAGCAGCATCTGAAGAAGGGTGGGTGGGAGGGGAGACTGGACCCCTTTTGTGATTCACCTATACAAAATGATTTTGAGGTTGGTGTGTTTCTGTCAATTTCTGCAGCTATAAAGTGTGTATAATTATGTTGCACTCAGCATGCTCAGGGGCTGGCACGTTGAAAAACTTGGAATAGCTGTACCTGATTGGCTGGAATGTTATTCATCACTGTTGACCTTAGCTTTTGTTCATCCCGACGATGCATGTCATGATGTCAGTCACTGGAATGTCTCGTTTATACAGACCACAGTGATAGCTGGAATATTGCTGTGTGCGGCATTAAACAACAAACAAACAAACAAACAAACAAGCAAATAATAAGTATTATCATATAATGGGTAGGTTTCTCGGCAGGATAAAGCCATATCCGTTGGGGTCATATGCGGAGAGAGATGCAAATTTCAAAGGTCAAGTAGGGACTACTTTCAATGTTTATAAACAAACATGGCGTCGCCCTCGTCATTCGGCGATCGAGTCAGAATTAACCATCGGGAATCTGGATAAACTACAGGGATAATTGCTATCATTATCAATATACTGAAAATCAGTGTCTAACTGTGACGTAGCTAAGTTTTGGCAACTTTGGAGATATAAATTTTGTCCAAATTTTGAAACAATTTTGCGAGGGCACGAGGCCTAGCCAAGCGGGATCAGTAGCCATATCCGTGCTTGTAGACCTCGGCTTGAAACCTTCTCCACAAATTAAAATAGTTGGATTTGGCCGAAATTTGTTTGAATTGTTACCTTGTTTCGTTTTGTCGCTCTGTGTACATCTGACTACACTTCTTAACGTTATGACAGGACAGATCGACTGTCAACAACGTCTGACCGTGGCTGTGACGTCTCATAGACTAGGGTTAGAGTAGCTTCCCTTTGACAAAGGGCAGTTACACTAGCGGACAGACCGATGGATTGCCGCGAAAGGCAATTAAAAACAAGGATTGTTGTTTTGTGTTTATGCTGCTTCGCCACTGTATAGGAAACAGATTTCAGTTGGAACTAAATTGGAACTCGCCAAGGCTCGCTAAATACAATGTTTATTCCTAATGCAGGATATTTGCCATCCCCAAACATACTCGCGTGATAACCTCTATTTCTCTGGACATTATATTTCTGGCATTACCCAATTAGCCATGAATGACCGTGAAAATAGTTTCTGTCATTCTCAATGAGCATATGTTATTACCTGTTATTTCCTGCTGATTGGCTAGTCCCTGCCAATTGATCCATTGTTTTCTTTCTTTGTGGAGCAATCCACAATGTGACATAATACTCGTAACAACCCATCATCACACACAATTGAAGATGACATAATCCATTGTTCATGCTGTCACAGACAATTGTATGTCGGCAGAGCTGCCTATAAGCAGCTTGTGTCAAATATACGCAAAATATACCTCGACTACCCAATTAGTTTAGAGTTACTTGTGTATAAATAAACATGAAACTTACAAAAAACACTAGTTTTACAACAATTTGCATAATTACCCAATGATCGTTTTCAACTTGCCTTCCTATAACATGAGTAATTCTTTACAGATATATATTTACTGATATATGTATCACACATTCATGAACTCTACTGCAGTGAATAATGCATGCACAACATGTACAACATGTACAAGGCGATGGCTGTGATATGCTCTTATTGTTAAATAGACGTGCATATCTTTGTTGTAAGTCAGTGTGACACTTGGGGCACACACCAACAGGTGCATATGTCACCTCAGTCAGCAGTAGCGCAGAATTATAGGGGGAAAATGTCTAGTCACTGATTTAAAATACCTAACACACTGGACCCAGAGAAGTAAAAAAATATTGAATACCCCCCCAAAACTGTCAATATTCAATGCAGATAAGAACTTGAGTAAGTACTCTGTGACTTAAGACTTATAAGGAGCCTTGTGACATCATTCATCATTGCAACCGTGGACTGACCGAGGTGTCCTACAACCAGAACACCCAACCTATGCATGTTCTTGTAAACAGCGCTGAGTAAAAACAATGAATAACCAACACCAATATAGAAGTATGGATTTTGTGTCCCTTGTGAAATACGGGTGAAAGGTGAAGCCATGCCTTGGGACTTACAAATTAATTTACTTTGAACAGATAATCTGTAATTCCTCGTTGCTTGTAGGTTATCCTCTACTTTGTTCGTGGTATTGATACACCATGCTGATTACTTTCTGTTGAACATGTTGCGGAGTGTTGACTTGATTGGTGCTGAACCTAAACAGAGTTGGCTCATCACTCTGTAGTCCTGGGTTTGAGTCCCACGTGGGTAGAACATGTGAAGCCCATTTGTGGTGTGAGCTGGCTAGATATTGCTGAAAGTTGCAAACACCCATACTAACTCAGTTATTCATGTATGATTTGGAAGTTATTGGTCTCGGACAGCTGCTGTGTTTCATTATCCATGTCAGGAGTTGAGGCATATGGCTGCTGCAGTGTTTATGTGGAGCTAGTGCTCTGAAGATCAACTACATTGTGGTACATTCTGATAGGGCATGTGTCAATTAGAAAAGAAATGTATGTATGTAACAAGTATTGTACTAAAGCATGTGTCAGTCAATAAGGATACCGTATTTTCTTGAGTATAGTGCATACTTTTTTCCCCAAAAACACAGCTGTGTAGAAGGGGGTGCACATTATATACGAAATAATGAGTTTTGAAGTTTTTTTCCCCCATGGAAAGACATTACAGTGAGCACGTAACACCGGAAATACCATGTTAACAAATCCATACTGAAGTACGCAAAATAATCATGTAATTACACTGTCTGGCTATAAAAAGTGTTCTTTGCATATCTGGACTTATGTTTGTAACTTATTTCATTAATTTTTTCAAAATATCTTTTAATATTGTTTTAATTAATTTCGACAAAATCGTGTGTGAAGCGATCGGAAGATCGCTGAACTCACCGTTATTAACAGCAACCACGGTCAGATTACCCCTATTGATGCCTTGAAACGATCTTTAGTTGACAGAGAATGGATACATATATCATAAATGCCATACTTTGACTCGTTTAAAGGCATATTTGTTTGTGTTGGACGATTCTATGTCAACACGTAATTCTCGCGATCACACACGCAGGAGCCTTGACTGGTCAGACTGGTTCCATGTAAAAAATATTACCCGGCAATAGCGATCAGCTGCTTCGCTTAGGGTTATTATTATTTTAAATATGTTTAGTAAAAGCTGCATCTAAATTAACAAGATATTGGAATATATTATTCCTGATAAAAAAATAGTTTCAGATACAATTTTTGCCGATCCTTGCATTAAAATCCTGTAAAGTTATATCATTTGGTGTGTCTTGACCGAATCACCGGTAGATTCCAAGAAAACGTGTGTACAGCTGATTGCTGTGTCCGGCTTAGTTTACAAGGTAATCTTAATCACTGGATATAAAACAATGCCTATAAAACAAAAAATACAATTTAAACGGTAAATCAACATGTCTGGTGATTTTTCTATCTCAAATTTCGAATTTGTACTGACCAAGTTTCTCATCACCCAGTCGTTTGCCGGACTTCGCTGAAGGGGTACGGTGTAATTTTTTTCTGCACTTGGTATTCAAATATCTTTTTTCTCCAAAATACTGAATTCGCTCGAGGGGGTTGCGCATGGGGCGCACTATACTCAAGGAAATACGGTAAACAAAATAGTAAAGGGTGACATGAATACATGTATATAGATATGGATGACAGCTGATACACAATGTAATGTGGTACAAACTTAAAGTGATCCCTATGTGCGCTTGTCTCTGTTCAGAGGGATAGACGTAACCACGGTAATGGTCTTGTCACTGACGTATGTTGTTTTGTTGCAGTGATCCCTATGTTCGCTTGTCTCTGTTCAGAGGGGATAGAGAGGATGGTCTTATTGATACAAAACAGACAAAGGTTATTAAGAAGGTAAGTCTCATGATTGTATTTCACACCTTCAACTCACTGATATACTCTCTTGTTGTTAAAATCATTTATGATATTATCAGCTGTTGCAGTATATTTGGGGTTTATGCTTGAAAGCAGACCTGTGAAGATTCCAGGGTAGAATAGGTCCTCAGCAACCCATACTTATCTTAAAGGCAACTATGCTTGTCATAAGAGGCGAATAACGGGATTGGGTGGTCAGGCTCACTGACTTGGTTGATACATGTCATTGATCCCAATTGCGTGGATTGTCTGGTCCAGGCTCGAATATTATACAGACCGCCTTCATATAACTGGAGACCCGTGAAGATTCCGGGGTAGAATAGGTCTTCAGCAACCCATGCTTGCCGTAAAAGGTGACTATGCTTGTCGTAGAAGTCAACTAACGGGATCGGGTGGTCAGGCTCGCTGACTTGGTTGATACATGTCATCAATCCCAATTGCGTGGATGGATGCTCATGATATCAATCACTGGATTGTCTGGTCCAGACTCAATTATTTACAGACTGCCGTCATATAGCTGGAATATTGCTGAGTGAGGCGTTAAACAACAAACCAACCAACCATCCTTCATATAACTGGAAGTTTGTCCTTACCTGACGCTACACAGTGCTCTAGGTCAGTCTCTAGAGACAGAGACAGACAGACAGACAGACAGACAGACAGACAAACTGACTCTACATCTGTGTCTTACTGTATTTACAACATGTAATACAAGCTGTAACTGTATTCTGATTTAGAACATGTAATACTATTTTCTGACTTAGAACATGTAATACAAGCTGTAACTGTATTCTGATTTAGAACATGTAATACTATTTTCTGACTTAGAACATGTAATACAAGCTGTAACTGTATTCTGATTTAGAACATGTAATACTATTTTCTGACTTAGAACATGTAATATAAGCTGTAACTGTATTCTGATTTAGAACATGTAATACTATTTTCTGACTTAGAATATGTAATACAAGCTGTAACTGTATTCTGATTTAGAACATGTAATACTATTTTCTGACTTAGAATATGTAATACAAGCTGTAACTGTATTCTGATTTACCAGTTTGCTCTTCAGGATGTGAAGTTAATGGAAGTGGGATACAAATGAAAAAGAAAATTATTTTTATCCTATTTAGTTCATTATCTTAACTTGAGCCATGTAAACTTTGCAAATAATAATCGTATCTGGTCTGAAGACTTTGGATGTGGAAAACATGATTTCCTGAAAAGAAACCACTAAGATAGTAGTGAAGACGTAGATCCTGTATTGTTGCCATGGTTACAAATGATTATTCCAGTAACCGGAGTGTTGATGGAAAGTATAGTACATTGGTGTGTATTAGCTGTTTGTCACTGAATTGACCCTATCAGGCGAACCCAGTACCTGGTGCCAGCCTGGTGCCTGCTGAGGCCTCGCCTTGTTATATCGGCAGTTCAACACATCTGTAGGGAGAATGTGGTAGAAGAGAAGTGTTTTTGTTTATGTTCTGTTGTATTATTTCAAATGCCAGTGTTACAAGTTACATTGTTACCATGGTTACATGTGCCAGTGTTACAAGTTACAATTATTTTGTTGGGAACAATATTACAATTTGCCAAAGGAAGCTCATCAAGTCACACTGTTAAGTACTGTCCTTGGACCTTAATGTCAATCCCCAGAATCTTGGGCCATTTTCGGCCACTCAAAGACCATGTAATTAGTGCCATGTGTGAAACTGAAACATGGTGTCGGTGTAATTAGGATGATCATCAACCACTAGATTGATTCATGTCATTACATTAGAGTTAGCAGAAGTGTTTCTGTAACTATGCATTATTCCAAGCCTAGTGTCCCGTATCTCCACCCATTCCCTAGCCCCATCCCAGTCCCCTATCTCCACCCATTCCCTAGCCCCTATCTCCACCCATTCCCTGGCCCCACCCCAGTCCCCTATCTCCAACCATTCCCTAGCCCCTATCTCCACCCATTCCCTGGCCCCACCCCAGTCCCCTATCTCCAACCATTCCCTGTCCCCTATCTCCACCCATTCCCTGTCCCCTATCTCCACCCATTCCCTAGCCCCACCCCAGTCCCCTATCTCCACCCATTCCCTAGCCCCACCCCTGTCCCCTATCTCCACCCATTCCCTAGCCCCACCCCTGTCCCCTATCTCCACCCATTCCCTGGCCCCACCCCAGTCCCCTATCTCCACCATTCCCTAGCCCCACCCCTGTCCCGTATCTCCACCCATTCCCTAGCCCCACCCCAGTCCCCTATCTCCACCATTCCCTAGCCCCACCCCAGTCCCCTATCTCCACCATTCCCTAGCCCCACTACTGTCCCGTATCTCCACCCATTCCCTAGCCCCACCCCAGTCCCCTATCTCCAACATTCCCTAGCCCCACCCCAGTCCCCTATCTCCACCCATTCCCTAGCCCTACCCCTGTCCCCTAACTCCACCCATGTCCCCTAGCCCCACCCATCCCCTATCTCCACCCTTGTCCCCTAGCCCCACCCCTGTCCCCTAGCTCCACCCATGTCCCCTAGCTCCACCCATGTCCCCTAGCTCCACCCATGTACCCTAGCTCCACCCATGTACCCTAGCTCCACCCATGTCCCCTAGCTCCACCCCTGTCCCCTATCTCCACCCCTGTCCCCTAGCTCCACCCATGTCCCCTAGCCCCACCCTGTCTCCTAGCCCCACCCCTGTCCCCTAGCCCCACCCGTCCCCTATCTCCACTCTTGTCCCCTAGCCCCACCCCTGTCCCCTAGCTCCACCCCATTCCCCTAGCTCCCAACCCTTGTCCCCTAGACCCATCCCTGTCCCTCCCCGTCCCTCTGTTCCTTAGCCCCCTCCCCTTCTCCCTGTCCCCCTCACCTGTCCCCTAGCCCGTCCCCTAGCCCTCACCACTGCCCTCTCCTTCCTTCAGGTGTGTATGCTTGTAGCACCTGGAGGAGTGCTGTTTGCTAAGCCTGAACCAAGGCCCTTCTGATTAGATAACTATCTAGGTCACCATGAGATGCCAGCTCTCCCTTGCTTTATATCAGGTCGCTTGGTTTAACATGCAGTGAAGGTATATGGGCTGGCTTGCTGTTAGGCCAAAGTGTTTAGTTTCTGTATATCCTCCCCTCACTGGTTTTATCAGTGGAGTTTTACTCTGATTTGAAAAGTATTTTCAGATTTATCACAGTGTTTCAGCTTGATATGAGCAAAAAGTGATGCTGGTCTTTGGCCTTCGAACCCATGATCATAGGCTTTTAGTATGCCTTACATGCCCAAGGGACGCAACTCTACACAGCAAAGTGTGGCACTTAAGTGACTGGGCCGCCCTTGCCCCTGGTGTCTGATCCAGTACATGACAGGCTCCTCTGTATCGAAGGTGTCTACCTAACACCCCACTGTGTGTATTGGAGTGACTGTTAGGTCTTTGGTGATGAGTGGGACATTCTTCTAATCCCTTTCAACTGTGTCGCTGGAGCCTAGGAATTCACGTCTTTGTATATCTGAGGTCGTGACATTTGTGATCACAGGCAAAAGGTGAAGAGCTTCTTTTAGAACGACCCGAAGTTGTGAAGACCTGAGCGGGACTCCTAATAGGACATCTTGTCAGTCATTGTCCTGATCTTGTAGGTGATGAGGGCAGGCTGTACATGTTGAAGGGCATTAGGCCACACATTTTCTATTTTTCGTTTCACAGGCCCGCTGCCTCTGCTGCAAAGCAGCCGTTTGAAGAAATAAATCAAACATAAACCTCTCCCACAAGCATAAAGACCCTCTAATACATTAATTCTATGTTTGCATCACTATCAGTGATTCAAGAAGCCAGCTGCTGTTTTAACTCCACGACAGAATGACTTTCATATGAATGAATAAATAAATAAATAAATAAATAAATAAATAAATAAATAAATAATTGACATAGCTATATGTTTTTGTTTTTATTTCAACAGACTGTGTGTGGAAAAGCTGGAATAAATCCATGAAACATAAACTTAAAATAGTGTGGCCTTATATAATGGGGTCAGGAATATTGTATAATAAAACCTGGATTCCTGTCAGGGAGGGTTGTATACCCCCCATGGAGCTGAGAAAGCTTATTGTTTTCGGAGGTAAAAATTGCATATGTTATGTGTATTTCACTTTTATATAAATGCACTAATATTATTATCCCTGTCAGTGTCATTATTATTTTGAAACAAAACCTCATTGCCTCATTGCCTTATGACTCTCTGCATGATTGTACAAAAAGTCAGTCCATAAATTATGTTATGCTGACAGCCTCCCATATAAAGCTGACATGCCGTGATATAACTGGAATACTGTTGAAGAATGCTATTAAACCCAACCTCGCTCGCTCGCTCGCTCACTCACTCACTCACTCACTCACTCACTCACTCACTCACTCACAAAAGCCACACTTGTAAGCAACAAGAAATGGACTGCCTGCCTTATCTAGCTGTGTTGGCCAGTTGGCCAGATTATGGACAATAAACCATCTTTACTGCAAGCTGATATGTACTGATTTGGCCGCCTCTGCCGCTGACTACAGAAACATCCCAACGGCTTCATCAATCAATAAGTACCGAAATATGGGAGGTTTACAAATCGCCTTGCATGCTTGATCCTGCTTTAATCTGGACACTGAGGAACATATGAATAGGCGAATTATGTGTGGAAAGTAGCCTGAAAAAACAGAACTCATTTGACTTGAAGAATTGACAAGCTCTGGGACATTCCTGATCAGGCATCTATTGAATTGTGTGGGTGAAGTAGCAGACCAAGAAAAGGTGGTGATTTCGTTTTGTTACTTTCCTGAAGGCGACTTAAGCTTTAAAACTGTTCCGGAATTGCTGAGACCGACTTGCTAGATCACTTGAGTAAAATGAGAATAATTTGTAAGTTTTACTCGTCAGCAACAAGACTCCCCCAAAAACAATCTGCATGAGGATGGGGAAACCTTGTGGCTGAGTTGTGTTCTAGTCAGCCCAGGTCAGAGTACCA